CTGCTGTCTCCACTTCCCCTCCCTCGCCCCTGAAGAACAGTAACATTGCATCGTCAGTGAACAGATGACGTTCGTAATAGCACCATTGTGGGCTCAGCTTTGACGCGATTGCTCGCCGCCATTGGATGGCGCGGCCCGGCCTCCCGTCGTGCGGGGCGCGTGGCCGGCCGGCATCGCAGCGATGGCTGCAGATATGCGCGGACACTGGCTGGAACCGCCCGCCCGGCCAGCCGCCGGGCGGGGCTCGCCTCAGGAGCGCACCGCCCAGACGCCCCCCTCCACTCCGCCGCATGGGACGGGCCCAGCGCCGAGCCGAGCCGTAGCGTTCGCCTCGAGGGGCAGCGCTGCCCCTCGGGCCGACGGCGCCGCCCCTCAGCACGGGGCGGGCCGGAGCAGCCCCACGCTGATCCGGCCGGGACGCAGCGGCGGCCGCCTCACACGTGGATGGTGGCGCCGGGGTCGGCCGGCGGCGGCGACGCGCCGGCCTCCGCGCCGCGGCCCGCCCGCTGCGCCCCCTCTCAGATCTTGAAGCTGGTGCCCGAGTGGACCGACAGCTGGTCGTGACAGGAGCGGCTGCCACTGGCACCGGAAGTCCCTGCGAACGGCGCGAGCGCGCGCGTCAGACGGTTCGCTTCTGCCGGGGCGGACGCGCACGCGGCACCACGGCCGCGGGGCGGGCTGGCCACGTGGGCGTCTGACGCCGGGGGGGGGGGGGGGGGGGGAAGGACATCGTGCCCGCGGCTGTGCGTGTTATCACGGCCTCACCTGCGTGGTCACGTGAGGTTAGATTCTGTGGGTGTCTTGGTGGCTGTGCCGGTGGGCTCTTGGCGTACGTGGTGGTGTCACTGCTGGTGCTGGTTGTCATGGCCCGTCCGTATTGCCATATTTCTCAGCGAACGACGTGTTTGACGCCTTGTTATGTGGGAAAGTCTGTCAGTGTCCCTTGACGGGGCCCCTGTTTGGACACAGCATAGGGTTCAGGAGCCACGTATTCATCTTGTCCCTAGTGTCAATGACTCAATGTCAGAGGAGGCCAGGCATGATGTCAGAGGTCAGTCATGATATCAGGGATCAGTCAGGTCATGTTGTCAGAGGTCAGTCATGATATCATGTGTCAGTTATGATATCAGCGGTGAGTCATGTTGCCAGCGGTCAGTCGTGATGTCAGAGTTAATTTATGATGTCAGAGGTCAGCCATGATGTCAGGTGTCATGTATAATTGTCAGGAGTCAACGACGATGAGGGCGGTCAGCCGTGACCACAGGGTTCAGCGGCCGTGATTGTCGCTGACCGCACCCTGCCGGCACCGGGCGCCGGCAGCGAGCATCGAGCAGCCACCGACCGCCCTCCGATGCAGCGGCGTCCGCTACGGCGACGCCCACTTCCGAGAATCGCCCGAATCAGTCGCATTCGGCGCGTTTTCAGAAAGCTCCTCTCCATGTTTGCTCGCGAAATTGGATGTCGAAAGAGGGAGCAAGCCAAACAGCGTAGGATATGGGTCCTCCCCTGCTTCGAAGGGGCTTGAACGTGGCTGGGGCAGATTTGTTGAAATGAAACGCAATCTCTATAGGCAAGATATGGGCAGTGGGCGCCGCTCTTGCCATTACAGCGAGTCGATCCCCGTGTGCCGAGCCGCGCTCATCATCAGCGTGGCCTCACGCGCCGCTTTCAGGCAGCCAGCGTGAGAGAAGGGCGACACTAATGATCGGTGCAGCCGGCAGCCGCCTGGGACTTGAGTTCTTCTGTGGGAACCGTGCCGTCTTCGAGAGGTCCTGCTTCGTGTCGGAACGGTTAATGTTCGGCCGGCTTGTTTCGTTATAACATTACAATGCTGATCGTGGCGGGCTGCATGCCAGACGAGATTACCAGGGATCAAAGCGGTGAGATGCTTTGTTCCTACCGCAATGAAAATTCGTGTGGTGCTACGACGAAAGGCCGGGTGATGGCGACCGGGAGATGGTGCAGCCCCGATCGGAGACCACCTAGTGCGTGACGTGCACCTGGGTCATGGTCAAGGTCAAGGTCGGGTCACACCCGACAGAGCCGGCCCGTCCCGGCGTCGCCGCGCGGTCGGTTCAGCAGCGGTGTGTGTGGCGCGGCGCACGTCTTCCGTCGCCGCCGCTGCGGCCGCGGCCGCGCTCGTCCGTCGGCGGCAACCAGCGCTCGGCGGGCGGCCGTTCAGCTCCGGCTGGCGACGTGGGTGGCGAGGCGGGGCGCGCGGGCCGTCCGGTGTCGGCGGTCGGCCGGTGCCGATGCCGCCCGCCCGGCCGCCCGGCCGCTCCAGGCGGTGACGTCACGCCGCCGGCGCCGTCCACAATCATCGCCGCCGGGAGCTAATCTCGTTTGCGGCGGCATCGGCGACGGCCGCTCCGCTGGGCGCGACGTTCTGCGAAGCCCCGGCCGGCCTGGGCGTCGACACTGATGGGGCGAGCTGTCAGCGCCCCGCTTGAAGGGCTCTCGCCCCGGCTGTCGCCGTCGTCCGGCGGCGGCCGGCGCGGTGCAGGCGGGGGCGGCCGGCGCGGCGCAGGTGGGGTCGCCGCCCGGCTGCCGGGGGCGCCCCCGCGGCGTCCCCCGGGGCCACTGATGTCGGCAGTGGCGGGCGCAGCTGTGATGATGGGCTGATCTCCACGGACCGTCAGCCGCCGCGCCGTCCCCCGGGGCCGCTGACGTCGGCAGTGGCGGGCGCAGCTGTGATGATGGGCTGATCTCCACGCACCGTCAGCCGCCGCGGTATTTCCGCGTGATGAGTGCCCGGGCTGGCGCCGAGCGTCTCAGCTCAGTGCCGACTCCCGCTGCCAGAAGCCAATCGTGCACCGGATCACGTTCTAAATGACCGCTCTGATCGGACGGTGATGGTAGCGCATTGTGGGGCTCGGCGAGGGCGTCTTGATCTAGTGGGGTCGATGCATTGAAGCGGCGCGTCGGAAGCGGCCGCTGATCGACGTCCTGTTGACGTCCTGTCTCGGCAGATCGCCGGAGAAGATCTGGCTGTGGTCGTCGGTCGTCGGCTCCGTCCGGGCGCGCCGACTGATGCGCTTTATTGCTGACCGGCGTGGGCGGGTGCTGAATTCTGGCTGGCGACCGGCGGCACGCTGCGCGGAGCTCGATGCCGCGACAGTTTCCGCTCCCGATGCCACTGGCGCTGCCGGCTTTCATCAGCTATTTCCGAGGCTCCTCGGGAGCTCCGGTTCGGCTGGCGCCTAGTCCGGGTTTCCCAGGGAGGAGTGCAGATTGCGCGCGGCACTGGACGGAGAGTGTGACCGCCGCTGTCGCTGTGGCGCTGGACAGATGATGTGACCGTCGCTGTCGCTGTGGCGCTGGACGGAGGATGTGACCGCCGCTGTCGCTGTGGCGCTGGACGGAGAGCGTGACCGCCGCTGTCGCTAAGGCGCTGGACGGAGAGCATGACCGCCGCTACCGCTGTGGCGCTGGACGGAGCATGTGACCGCCGCTGTCGCTGTGGCGCTGGACGGAGCATGTGACCGCCGCTGTCGCTGTGGCGGCCAGATTTGTCGTCGCGCCATCTGCGCGCGGCTTAGAGGCCAAAGCCGGCCGGCGCGCGCCCATACAGACGAGCCCGTTGGCGCCGAGACGACAGGCTGATAGCATTGCGCTCGCAGGATATCGGGCCGGAATGGGTCGGCGGGCCGGATGCGCCCGCCGCCGCCGGCCGCTCCTCGGAACGCGACCTTCTGACCCGGGCTGATCTGAGGTGTGCCGCGGGGCGCCCGGCAGCCGTGGGTGTCGTGTGGCGGTGCCCTGCTGTGTAGGAGCCCGCGGCCGTGGTGGCCGACGGCGCGCTCGAAGGCCATGTTTGGCGAGGACGGTGGGCTGCGGCATCGATCAGCGCCGCCGCCCGCGGCCTGCTCGCGGGGTGAGTCAGGCGAGTGACACGGCGCCGACGGCGGCCGGGCCGGCCGGCGGGCTCGAGCGGCCGCCGCCCACCCAGCGGCGCCGGCCGGGCTCGCCGACGTCCAGCGCCCGCGCCACCATCTGGAGCCAGCCGACCGCCAGCCCGGCCCGACGCTCGGTCGCGCCTCCTCCAAATTACCTTAGCATTTTAAGCTCGTCTTTCTGGCGCCAAGCGGGCAGGCCCGACCGGCCACCGCCCCTGACGTGCACCCCGCACCCCGCTCTACCCGGGGGGGGGGGGGGGGCGGCGCCGCGAAGTGAGGTGATATGTCGCCGGCGGACGCGGACGTCTTGTCAGATGGACGGCCAGCAGCCGGGCGCGTGATCAGCGCATTGACATTGGCGGCGCTGAGGCGGGCTGTTTGCTTTTAGTCAGTGTATAGCGTTGTAAAGGGCAGCTAGGAATACGTCAAATGCCTGTTTGTCGTTGTGCTGTGTCTTAAGTCCATCCGTTGAAGGTTCCGCTGTCTCGCTGTGGGTTGTTTTTTTGTCATAGGTCTTTGTAACTTGTTTGGTCTAAATAAGCTTTTCGACGTTCTGCGTTTGCCTTCTGTGTAAAGTGGGTAGTCTGTTTCTTCAAAGCTGCTCCGGTCGCATTAGCCGTCTTATACGCGAATGCAAATATATCGTCCATCCATCTCAACAATAACCACTAGCGTGAAGTTGGCCGTCTTTAAATTACATTTAGGCTGTCAAATTTAGATAACACTTCCGTCGGAAGGAAGGGCATGTAGTCCCCGAATATCTGTCAGCGCGTCTCAGAATTGCGCTGCGAGATGAAAACGGGCTCCTGGAGCAGCGGCACCCGGCACCCCCAGCCGCGCGGCGAGCGATAACAGTGACGACGGAGGGGATTGTGAAGAGGCACTTACTGCTCTTCACCCAATTAACGGGCTTCAGTGTCGTGCATTTGAAGGAGACCAGCATTGAGCAACTCTAGATGTCAATAAAAATCAGTGACGACAATGCGCATGACAAATAATTTTGACACTTCGATCGACCAGAACTCCGTGCCTGCGTAGCATGCAGACATGAGGAGGCAGTACCCCGGCACCGGGAGGCGGGCGTGCCGGCCACCTGCCGCCCACTCACGCCAGGTAGGAGCGGCTGAGCGACGGGTACGAGTGGAACGTCTCCTCCTCGACGCTGTCGCGGCGGGGCGGCGCACTGGCGCGGCGGCCGTGCGCTGCTGCCGCCGGCCGCCGCTCCTCGCCGCCGCCACGGTAGTTGCAGCAGATGAGGTCGAGCGCGGCGCGCCGCAGCCCCTTGTGCAGCGCCAGGAACAGCGCCGGGTTGACGAACGAGTGCACGAAGGCGATGTGCAGTGTCACCTCGTGCGGCAGACCGGCGCGTCGACCTGACGGCAGCAGAGAGAAGCCTGCGCATCGTCAACCAGTCGACGTCAGGCTGGCCCGGCGACACACTAGGGACCCGGACACTGCAACCATGCGCGGGGACCAGGACACCGCAGACACGCCAGGGGACCCGGACACTGCAGACACGTCGGGGACCCGGATGCTACAACCACGCCCAAGATCTTTGGGCTGCGCATGCGGGAAGATGATGGTGAGCACGAATTCGACATTTGACACTCATGACTCGAGTTTTACGCGACTCAACACCGCCACCTCCATTGGCTCTTCCAGCCTGCCTCGTCCTCGCCCATCTGCGTATTTCTCCCTAATGCGTCGCCGACAGTGCCAAACCACATTCGGCGGCTGGCGGCCGTAGTCGGGTCACGCGTGCCGCCAGGCCCTGCTGCCCGCCCTCGGCCGTGGCTGCAGCGGCCCGGTCTCCCGCCAGGCCCTGCTGCCCGCCCTCGGCCGTGCCTGCAGCGGCCCAGTCTCCCGCCAGGCCCTCCTGCCCGCCCTCGGCCGTGCCTGCAGCGGCCCAGTCTCGGCCGCCGCGGAGCCGGCCTGGGGGCCGAACACGCTCGAGACGGGCCGCCGATGGTGCGGCGCATCGGTGGGCGGTCGCGCCGGCCGTAAAAACGTCCGGCGAAGACCGCCTCCGGCCCGGCAACGGCCGCCGGAAGTTCCCCACTTCCGGCTCCTCGGGGGACGCTCCGAGGCCGATTTGAGTCAGGGGCCGAGGCCGGAATCTCGGAGGTTGGGTCATGACCCGACGGAACGCAGAACGTCGAATTTAGAAACAGGCGAGGGGTTTTTACGTGCAGGGTGCTTCGAAGTTCTTCGGCGACATGTCTGGAACGTTGGGAGTGCTTGCGGAATTCTTGGCTGTGTTTGATGCTAGGGACTTCTGCAATTGCTGGTTTGCGTCACTAAATTCCAGATCTTTAGCCGGCGGTGGAGCGACAGTTGCATGAGCTTTTGAAGTCGTGGCATGCTTAATCAGGTGCTGTCACTGGCAGGCAACTACACACGAAGTAGATTTTACGTGCATCTCATGCCTCTGAATGGACGGAAGTGGCGTACAGCGTTCGAAGTTCGCCGAAATCGAGTACCGCGATGGGTCGCTTTCTCCCGTTGCCGTGTTGGTACTTCTGTCAAATCTATGGGGTCACATAAGGACACTACATCGGTTACGGTTAATCCCTCTTTGATTGAGGTGGCGATGCTATGGTTTCGGGGGATTTCATTATTCATGCACGGTTTAGGGAATGACGTTGACAGCTCGTGAGCTTGAATGATCGCCGCTCCCGGCGTCAAGAGCTGTACAGCCCCGCCTGCGCTCGATGGGCCCCGTTGTCAGTGGCTTGGCTTCAGGCCGGCCCGGCCCCGACGCCCGGCGGGCCAGACGCCTGCTACGGACGCAGCCGCCACTCTGACTCCCACCCAGCTGACCAACAAACTGGCCCCGCCGGCGGGGTTCAGACCGGGTGACCCACCTTCGTGACGCCCCCGTCCCCTGGTCACCCTGGGCCTGGTCAGTGTGAGCCCAGGTCAGCTCCCGATGCCCCGGCCTGGCCCGTCGGCTCACCTCCGGGCCTGGCCAGCGTGACCAGGAACAGCGGTCCCCAGAAGACGAGGTAGGCGATGACGATCACCACGAACATCTTGACACGCTCGATGCCCTCGCGCTCCATGCGCTGGATGTGTGTGCTGACCCGGCGCGGGTCCCTGCGACACGACCAGGAGCCGCATCAGACCCGCTGTTGCGCGCCTGCACGACTGCAGGTGCTCGGAAGTGGGTAAGTGGTCTGAGGAGATCCGCGGTCAGCGTCGGTAGCCGTCCCAAACTTCCCGGAGGTCCCCGGAGAAGACCAGCCGCCAGGAGTCACACCGGTGATGAAGACCAGCCGCCAGGAGTCACGCCGGTGATGTGGGCTGGGACTGTTGGACTGATGGACCTGGGAGAAGTGGCATTACTGCTCGGTACGGTGCATTGCGGCCTGATGCGGTACCCGGATGCCGAGAGAGCCCGCACGCAAGGGGAGCACTGAGCTCAGGTCACCACAGTTGCGAACGTCACTGTTACGACAGAGGCTCGGGGACCGTGGTCGAGTGCGCCGACCAGACCGGACCGCCGTGCTGCCGTTCGCGCAGGGGCTCGGGGACCGTGGTCGAGTGCGCTGACCAGGCCGGACCGCCGTGCTGCCGTTCGCGTTGCGGCACAAGCATCTTGGATGAGGGACCGCCTGAACAGTGCGGCGGTCAGAGCTGCGCGTGTGTGCATGCATTGCCGGAGGGGCGTCATGCCCATCCCGCGGTCGTTCCCTGTCGCCGTCGCGCCGCTGACTGCCGTGTTTTCCAGCCGTGTTCCTCGCTAGCCGGGCCGTCCGTCCGGATGTTTTTGTCGGCGCGGTGACGACAGACGGCCGTATTATTTTCCGGACGCCGGCCCGGCCCATCGCCGAATGGGCCGCGTGTCCCCCGACAAGTTGTCCCGTTACGGAAGGCAGCCCGGCCAGGCGCGCCATCGCCGTCCGGCCGCCGGAGCCGGGCGCCGAGCCGAATCGTTTCTGCGACCGGCTTTATCGGGTCGGACTTCTGTGTACCTGCCAGACCTCGGTCAAACTTCACTTCGGTGGGCGGACCGGACAGGGTAAGAGCTTGTTTGGGCCGTGGTTCGGCTGGGTGCGGCTTTGTTTCCGGAGAATGGCAGGGCGCGGCGCTGTCACTGGGCTACGCTCCGCAGCCGGGCCTCATCTCACGCGGCTGGAGAGGATTGAACAACTCCCCGGGCGGCCATCAGTCGCCGGCAGGCTTTTTTAGCCGGACTCTAACTGGCTGGTGGCAGCACACTCTCGCTGAGAGCAGCGTTGAGACCCACATGATTTACGGCGTGTTTTTGCTGGCTTTCGCGTGCTCCAGTGCCGCGCCGCTTCGCCGTCACCTCTCGTCTCCGCGAGGTCCCCACTCCTCGCTGCAGGCGCGTCGCTAGTTCACACCTCGTGCTGCGCCGCGCGGACAGCGAGCGCTTGGCTCGGCCGGGTTTGGGTCAGCCACAAGATGCAGTCCAAACTGATCCCACAGCGGTCCCATCGCGCCTCAGGCTGGGCCCAGAGCTGGCGCGCCGACGAGCCGCGTCCGGCCCGGCCTCGCAGCGACGCAACCGCGGCCGCCGTCCGGTGACGGGTCGGCCTCGCCACGTAAGGCCGCCCCTAATGGAAATGTCCGGTCGGACGGGCGCGGTCCGGCGGTGCCCGGTGCTCCCCGACGCCGCCCCATCGGCCGCGCCGTCAGCAGCTCGGCCGTCGTCGCCCGCGTCTCGCCCCGGGTGGCCGCGGCCAGCGCCGAGATAACACAAAACGACGCCGCGTGAAACCAAGGAGTGGCGCGATGGCGGGAAAGACATTAGGTGGGTGAGGGGACGCGGAAGTGGGCCGCTGGGCGACGCTTTTTGTGATATTGCGGCTGGGCTTGGGCCGTCGCTGGTTCAGCGCGGTGTAGAAGAGGCTCACAACGCACAGCTGGGAGTCAGAGAGCACGATCTTCGCATCGGAATAATCTGCAAAGTCGCTGAAGAGACGCATATAACCAATCAGTTCATGTCCGTGAAGTCTCCTGGCGTTAAGTGTCTAGTCGTCCCGGGAGCACGTGAATGCGGACGTTGTAACCTTGGTCATGGGACAAAAGACATGCTTCACGCGCCTGCTCGTCACTTTTGTCGCCAACAGTGCCCACTCTGGACCTCATCTGCTGTCGCCGACCGAGCCGGCTCTGGGTCTCACCTGTTGTCGCCGACCGAGTCGGCTTTGGGTCTCACCTGTTGTCTCCGACCGAGTCGGCTCCGGGTCTCACCTGTTGTCGCCGACCGAGTCGGCTCTGGGTCTCACCTGTTGTCTCCGACCGTGTCGGCTCTGGGTCTCACCTGTTGTCGCTGTCGGGCGCCGACACGCTGATCATGGTGGTCACCAGGCTGGCGATGCGTACCGCCTGCACGTTCGACTTGCCCAGGTCACGGTACAGTTTGTGCAGGTGGAAGATGGTCAGGATCACGCACAGCACGTTGATCATGATCCAGAGCACGTTGAGCACGTAGTGTCGCAGCGGACCGGCCACGAGCGGGCAGCTGGGCGCGTGGTGTTCCTCCTCGATGTTGGCCGCCAGTGCACCGGACAGGAAGGTCGGCCCCAAGTTGATGGTGATGCTGGCGAACCAGATCATGAAGCTGCCGAAGAGCACGCACTGCGGCGACTCCATGAGCAGAGGAATGTGCTCGTCCTCGTCCTCGTCGTCGGGCTGCAGAGGCGCGTCGTTCAGCACCGTCGTCAGCAGGTTGATGGTACTGGCTGTGACCAGCAGCAAGAAGGCCGTCTCCACCATGCTGCACTTGCCGACCGGCTGGCAGTTCAGGATGGAGACGCCCAGCGGGATCAGCAGCGTGGCGCGCACCATGTCCACCAGCGCCTGGTGGAACAGCAGACCCAGCGACCACCTGCGGCGCAGCACGGGCGGCACGCCGTCACGGCACGGCACGGCGGCGGGCAGCGGGCCACGTCGGACAGCAGACGCACCGAGCAAGAGGTGGCTACCGACGAGCCGAGGCTACCGGGTGTCAATTAACGTGTTAGTCCGTTGCCGCCTCCGCCTTTGGAGTGGATCAAGTGGAATCAAGTGGCGCTCAGCCAAATGAAGGTGTGCCCGCGGTCGGCGGCGACGCTAAGGCTCGTGGCCCGCGCGTCCGAGCCACCTGCGACGGTCGCAGACTGAGGGACGGACGGACGGATGCTGGCAGCGGCGCCCGCGGGACCCGCTGCTCGGAACGGCCGGCTTATGCAGTGTTGGCGCTGTCTCGGCGGAGGCTGGGCGGCCACCGCCGCTCGCAGCAAGCAGCAACGGACGGCGCTCCCACCCCGGCCAATCCTGCCGCCTTTGTCACTGCGCATCGAGAATTGACGGCCGGCCGCCGACGAGGATCCTCTCGCTGATTGAATTCATACGCGGCGGGGATAAATGTGCGGAGGCGCGGCCTGCTGGCGGGTGGCAGAGATCCGAGCCACCGACCTCGGCAGCAGGCATGTTTGATCGGGACAGCCGTCGGCCGCCCAGCTCGTGCCATATTACTCTTTCATTTGGCTGCCGACTCAAGATATTGATACGCGAAGACGCACCGGGCGTCATTCATCTCCAGCTGCCACATTTGTCAATGCTTATTGGAGGGAAGCAGTAATAGAAGAGATAATGGTTGTTGTGTGCCGCACCGGGTTCTGAGGGAGGTGAATTCCGAAGCTTGGCGTCTATGACGGCCTGCTGTTACACTGGACCCGCAAGGTAGATGCTGAAGACTTAAATAACCCCTTTATATTAACCCACCTGTCAGAAATGAAGCGATGAGATGCGTGTTGCTCTTGGCAGAATCACGCCTTGAGTGCTTTGAGTTCTCGTTACTCCCCTGATGATATCCCGCGAGACCCGCTCCTCAGCATCATTACATCCACTACCGCTGATTGTAGGCCATTCTCAGCTGGGCCGGGGTGTTACATGTAGATTGTAGGCCATTCTCAGCTGGGCCGGGGTGTTACATGTAGATTGTAGGCCATTCTCAGCTGGGCCGGGATGTTACATGTAGATTGTAGGCCATTCTCAGCTGGGCCGGGGTGTTACATGTAGATTCAAACCAGACAGCGGAGACAAGGTGGGGGATTCATGAGCGCTAGACGACATCCGCCCTGAGGCCGAGTGTACGTCGACTCCCACAGGCGAGTTGTTGGGGAGGGGCGTGGGTTACTCTGGGATCGGTGGCGCTTTAAACACAGGTGGGAGAGGGCATACCTGGTGTGCCGCATGGAGAGAGGTCCCCCCCCCCCGCCCCATGACGACGGAGCCGCTCCCGCCCCCAGCGCCGGCTGCCCACACCTTCGCTCATTCCTCCCCCCCCCCCACCCCCACCCCCAGCCGGTCCTCTCGGCGCCCCTCGCCGCCGGTCGCCGGACGCGCTCACCGGCGCAGGTAGCGCTTGCTGAGGATGAGGAACATGAGCACCAGGTTGGCGCCGACGCCGAGGCTGCCCAGTGTGAAGATGATGGCCGCCTCGGTGGTGCCGCCTGGGTGGCAGGTGAACGGCCGCGTGGCGTTGATGTGCGACTCGTTGCTGCGGTCGTAGCCGGCCACGCCGATCGGGTGCCGGTTCATGGCGGCCACCTGGCGGCAGAGGACGGAACCAGTCGCGTCTCCGTCCCGGGGTAGTCGAACATGGCGACACGCGCGCGTTTGGGTTTCATCCTATGTTCAGTCAGCCCCGTGTGTTCACACCTGATCTGTCTCTCTCTCTGTGTGTGTGTGTGTGTGTGTGTGTGTGATCTGGCTCTGTTTAACGAGGCAGCGCCTAGCACGCCGGTGATCTGACCTCGTGCTTATTTTTTGTAGGTCACGCTTGTGTTTCTTCTTCTATTGTTTGTTTTTTGTCCTGTCTACAAGTCATTTCGTAATGCATGTTTATCGATTACACGTCGCCCTTTTTCTGACGGCATCTCCCATCCCCCACGTGTCCCGTTCATGATCGGTGTAATCCATCAGCCGCCTCATGTCTGTACGTGTTCAGACGTGTTCAGACGTCTTCGAGGAAACCGTTCGGCACCATTTCTGGTCGAGGCTGTTTTACGACAAATGTCTTCTTTATCACCAAGTGATCGGTTCGGACAGAGTTTGTGTTCCACGTTCAAACCCTGTGGCTAGATCGAGACAAGCGTAAAATGTGTGTCATCCGCGCATCAGTGTCGTTGCTCGAATCGCTGAGGAATAATTTCAGCCGTGCACCTTGTCCTTGGGGACAGCCGGCTCTTCCACTTTCAGTAGTTAGTTTCATTAGTTGACGATGTTGCCAATGCTTCTTCTGCTCTCATGAAGATTTCGTGCCCCCTTATTAGCTACCTCAGAATTGTCATAGCTGACCTCCATCGACACTGTTGCGTACAAACAGGACCGCGTGCGTTTACAGACGAAAAACAGCTGCTGGGTTCCCTGTTTGCCATGCCGAATTGTTCGCCGCTTTGAAGACGGTATGTCGTCTTCTCATTTCCGTTGTAAGGGTCATGCCGGTAGATGTGCTAAGACGGCAAAAGCACGTCCGCACTAGAAGCCAACTATTTTTCGTCTTTTGTCAGATTTGACGGGATCAATGAGACACATTCTGTCTGTGGTGAATTCGGAAGTGGGTCGTCGGGATTTGATTCAGGGCGGCCATTGAAGTCGCGCCGCTCTCAATGCTTCGCCCACGCCCAGCGCTCGAACGCGTCTCATTTTGTCCACGCCGTTGAAAGGGAGGTTTAGCGAGCCGCCGGGGGTACTGGGCCACTTCGAACGGGTCGAATTTGGACGAAATTTGGACGAATCGATTCGCTGACGGGAGGGCGTCGATAGCCCAGACTTGGTCCGACACACCAGCATTAGAGACGGTCATTTCGGAGCCGCCCTGAACGGCGGCGCTGGCTAGTGTGGCCCCCGGTCACACCACAGCACCGAGCACCGAGCATGCGCCATGTCCCTGCCCTCGTGCTCCTCACTCCCGTCCTTCCCCCCCCCCCCCTTCCGGTCTGACCCGGCGGCCCGGCGGGCAGCCCCGTGGCCGAGCCTGCGACCGCTAGCCGCCGTCGCCACTGCGCGGCGGCGACGGCGGTCATCCGAGGCTGCGTGGCGCGCCTCTATAACGCCGCTGATGCCTTCCCCGCTAGATTGGCCCATCGGCCAGACGGGAGATATCGATGGACCACCGCGGAGCCGCTGCCGTCGGCCGGGCGCGCCTGGGGCCGCTCCGCTGCTGGCCGTGTCATGCTCGGGCCGCTCCGCTGCTGGCCGTGTCATGCGTGGGCCGCTCCGCTGCTGGCCGTGTCATGCTCGGGCCGCTCCGCTGCTGGCCGTGTCATGCTTGGGCCGCTCCGCTGCTGGCCGTGTCATGCGTGGGCCGCTCCGCTGCTGGCCGTGTCATGCTCGGGCCGCTCCGCTGCTGGCCGTGTCATACTCGGGCCGCTCCGCTGCTGGCCGTGTCATGCTCGGGCCGTTCCGCTGCTGGCCATGTCATGCTCGGGCTGCTGCCGCGTCACGCTGCTGAGCACGGGCAGCGGGCCTCGGGACAGCCTGCAGTCACACTGGTGGTGGTGGTTTGGGCGACCCGCGCTAGCAAGTGGAGTCCAGTAACACCTGGTGGGAAGCCTCCCGCTTTGCGTGGTGTTTACCTGGTAATTTGTCTCCTTATTTGCGTATTTCCTTTCCCATCCATTCCATAGTTTTTTGTTTTTCTGCGTAGCCCACATCCACTCCAGTCCACCCTTGAGAAGCCCTGGCCATCCCTGTACATCTTCAGAAAGACACTGGAAGGCTGACCGACGCTATTCCGCGTGCAGACGCGTTGTCCCGTGTGGCTTGCGCTCTCAGGCGGCGACAGCGGCGTTGTCCCGCACGGCCTGCGCTCCCAGGCGGCGACAGCGGCGTTGTCCCGTGTGGCTTGCGCTTTCAGGCGGCGACAGCGGCGTTGTCCCGTACGGCCTGCGCTCTCAGGGGGCGACAGCGGCGTTGTCCCGTGTGGCTTGCGCTCCCAGGCGGCGACAGCGGCGTTGTCCCGCACGGCCTGCGCTCCCAGGCGGCGACAGCGGCGTTGTCCCGTGTGGCTTGCGCTTTCAGGCGGCGACAGCGGCATTGTCCCGTACGGCCTGCGCTCTCAGGCGGCGACAGCGGCGTTGTCCCGTGTGGCTTGCGCTCCCAGGCGGCGACAGCGGCGTTGTCCCGTGTGGCTTGCGCTCCCAGGCGGCGACAGCGGCGTTGTCCCGTGTGGCTTGCGCTCCCAGGCGGCGACAGCGGCGTTGTCCCGTGTGGCTTGCGCCCTCAGGGGACGGTGGTGGCCGGTCTTTGATCAGCCTCGTCTCGATGCCGTCCTCGGTGCAGCTGGTACAGGCTGTGACGCGTTATGGTCGCCGCGCCGGCTGGCGCTTGTCCCGGCTCCCCCGGAAGGGAGCGGCCGCGAGAGCCGCCAGATGACCCCGCGAACCGGCGGGGCCGGTGCCGCGAACACGACCCCGGCGGTGCCGGAGTCGTGACCGGCGGGGCCGGAGTCGTGACCGGCGGGGCCGGAGTCGCGACCGGCGGGCCGGAGTCGTGACCGGCGGGCCGGAGCCGTGACCGGCGGTGCCGGAGTCGTGACCGGCGGGGCCGGAGTCGTGGCCGGCGGGGCCGGAGTCGTGACCGGCGGGCCGGAGTCGTGACCGGCGGGCTGGAGCCGTGACTGGCGGGCCGGAGCCGTGACCGGCGGGCCGGAGCCGTGACCGGCGGTGCTGGAGCCGTGACCGGCGTCTCGGCTCTGTCACACTCGCTCCGTGGCGAGGCGGCCTGGGTCGGCGTCAGAGGCGTCGGCCCTGGGACGGCTGCGGGCGGCTGCCGTGTGTAGCTCACGCTGTGGCGGCTGATGTCCTCCAGGCTCGGCGTATGAGGGGGTGGGGACGGAGGGATGTCCTCAAAATGTTTTTTTTCGGATTGTCCCCAAGAGTGCGATCCCACACTGGGCGTTCATTTCTTTACCTGCATTATCGTCGCGGCGTTATCTTGATTTCCTCGGAGAGAGGGTGAGCCACGGCCCAGCCAGCGGCCGGGCGTGCGAGAGGGGCGCCGTCGGCGCAGGGACGGCTGTCGCCGCTGGACCGGGTGGTCGGAAATGGGCTCGGCCAAATCAGCCGGCAGCGGTGGCGCATGCTGCTATTGATGGCCGCCGCGCCAGCCGTGCTGATTGTAACGGCTACAGCCCACCCGGACACGAAAGGGCACTCCAGCAGCCGCGGACGCCAGACGGCCGGGCAGGCGCGGCCACCTAAAGCCCGAATAATCGCAGTCGATAAGCCTCTGAGCCTTTTGGTCGGTCCGGCGCGTGACTGTGTTTATTTGGATCGCGGCGTGGCTTGGCGGCACGTGGGCTCTGCCGCTCCGCTTTTGGGAGCACGCGGGCTCCGCTGCTCCGCTTTTTGGACCGCCCGCGCTCACCAGCTCCCATTGGTATTCGGCACTTTCCCAAAACACGTTGTCCCACGGCATTGCTGTTGTTGATCCCGTTGGTATAGAGGGGTTACAGAGAAAGGAAAAAAACCGAAGCTAAGGATGCAAGGGAGGACCAGGAAGGGCAAGTGGCATGGGGCAGATGGAGCTGGGGAAGCCGGGTGATTATTAGCTACTGGTTAATGACTAACGTGAAGGCCCCGTCTACAACCAGAGCTTCAGCTTGCCAGCATCACGGTCGCGTCGTTAGGCTGGCGTGGCTGCGAACGGTGCTGAAGCTGAGGCTGAACACCATCGCGTGCGTGTGAACGCGCCGCCGCGCCGGGCAGTCGTCCGCAGGTTGGAGCTGAAATCCGGCAGGAGTTTGGTAGAGGGAGAGCGAGTCATGAATTCTTCGGTCTTTGAAATACCAGGCGGGCTGCCGAGTAATGGGTCCGGAGATTGAGTCATTATTCCGGCCCATATAACTGTTCGAAATGAGTGCGACGGTTGTCTGTTCTCCCGCTTGTTGGAATGTATAGCGATGTTCGACCCGCTTTGTGGGCATCGAACGAATATTTATTGGCCGAGTGAATCGTAGCCGAGATTGTAAATCCTTCGCCATTTCCATTTCCTTTGGTTTTCTTTTATTTTTAGTGTGCGCCCAATAAAAGTGTCCAGAATTTGTGCACAAAATGCCAAACGTGGTTGATTAATTTCCGCCTGTAAGTGAGCACGCAGTGCCTCAGTCCGGCTGTGAAATTGAGACATTGCTGCATCTGTGCACGGGGTTCGGCGGTTTGTGTAGTCTTCACTGCCGCGTATTCCAGCCGGGTTCTCAGAGTTTGTGTAGTCTTCACTGCCGCGTACTCTAGCCGGGTTCTCAGAGTTTGCCTTGCGCACCGACAGAACATTAGCGCTTGCAGTGCGGAACATTGTGGCATTAGGGCCATTTTCATTCGTTAACTATGCCGAATCGTGCTGAGTGCATCGATCTATCGCGCCGGACCAGGCCGGCTTGATGACTGCCATGACTGCGGCCGAAACGACGCCCTCCGCACCCGGTCAGCGGTCCCACACGCGGTCAACGGTCCCACACCCATCCCACACGCGGTCAACGGTCCCACACCAAGTCAGCGGTCCCACACCCGGTCAGCGCCCCACACCTGATCAGCGGTCCCACACCTGGTCAGCGGTCCCACACTTGATCAGCGGTCCCACACCTGGTCAGCGGTCCCACACCTGGTCAGCGGTCCCACACCTGGTCAGCGGTCCCACACGCGGTCAGCGGTCCCACACCCAGTCAGCGGCCCCACACCCGGTCAGCGGTCCCACACCCGTTCAGCGGGACGGAGTTGGCGCTCCATAAAAGGACGGGTGGGATGGTGACGTGCGGGGGCGTGCCTTGAATGAAAATTTACAAAGGGATCAGCATTTCGCCGCGGTCCGCCGCCCGGCCGACAGGGCCGTGGTCACGCCGGCGGCGGACGGACGGACCGCCGTCTGTCGGCCCCAGCTGCTGCTGCTGCTGGGCTCTGAATGAGGCTTGTAGCGGCGGCGGCCTGGCCGGCGGCCCGAGCCGATGAGCGGACCGTCCGGTGCCTAATGCCCCGGACCGTATCGGCGTCGGGATGAGACGGCCGCGCCGCCGGCCGAAGGGAGAAGCATCGCCGATGGTGCATTAGTGAGGGTCGCGTCGTTGGAATGGGGTATCGATAACGCCGCTGGCAATGGGTGTGTCCTCTCGACGGGCGGCGTATATTGGCGGGAGGGGCGGGTGTACCCAAGGCGGAGGGGTGGCTGGACGGGGGCGTCCGGCCACCCCCTCCGGGCGTGTGTGGCCGGCTGCGGCAGGGGGGCAGCGTAACGCTCGCCTGTAGTCCGGGCGCCTCTGGCGGCAGACCCTCGCCGCATGGCATTCAGCGCCAGCTCCGAACTTAAATCTGCGTCTGAAAGTTGACGCAAGCCGCCCGGCTTCGGAGCGGCGCGACATCCGCTGGACCGAGCGGGTTCGGCGCTGCCGCCGGAGGCTTTCCCGTGGCTCGGCACCGGCGCCGGCGCCGGCGGCGCTGCTGGGTGCCCCCCGGGTCGGCAGGCTACCATCGTGCCTGGCCCCAATCGGTCGAGCGTGGCGGGCGGCGCCGGCGATTTAGCCGGCTCGCCGCGGCGACAAATCAGCGCCTTCCGTGAGCGGTCGCCACCGGCCGACCGAGATAGACGGCCGGCGGGGCGCGGCGGGGCAGGCCGAGCCTGTCGCGGTGGCTCGCTGATCTAGGAGCGCTGGCGGCGGCGCCGGCCGATCCGCCGTGGACGCGTGACGGCGTCGTGACGCCGTGTCCGATGCGGCGCCGGGACGCTGTGTCCAGTGCGGCGCCGGGACGCCGTGCGGGCCCGACAGCACGCTGGCCGGCTGTTGGTGGTCGGTTTACGATGATCCAGCTGAGGCGGGAGAGCCCAGCCGCCGCTCGGGTCGATCACGCCATCAATTTGCTCAGCTCCCACCGGTACCATGGACTGTGTTTACGGAACGCCGAGCGCCGGCACACCGGTCGTTTTCTATCATTGCCTGCGCATGCATACATCCGCAGCGGCGTTAGGTTATGAAAATTCCTAGCTGAACAAAGGTGTCTGCGGTGATCAGTTGTACACTTCGACAGCATTTACATACTTGATGAAGGCTGGATTTGTGATGGCATCACGCTGGTATTGTAACGTTCTTAATAAGTTAAATGGTTGGTTCCACGTTCCATCTAAATATCTGGCAAACGATCTTTGAGACGTTTTCGCCACATTATGACACCGAGCGCAGCTCTGACGATCGTTCAGGGACCAGCCGGAGGTCGTGGCTGACAGCTTCCTCGCCGCGCTATGCCGGCACGTGCGCCTGTGCCGTTCTGGCGGGGCGCCCGCTCGGCGCCGGACCTCCGTCGGCCGCGCTCTCACCTGGTGTTACGCGGCGGGGCGGCTTCGGCGTGCCCTCCGGCGCATGACGAGCCGGGTCGGGCGGAGCGGAGCGGGCTCGGCGGCCGGATCGGCTCCGAACGGGGCGGACGGCGGCGCGCGACTGGCCTAGCCGCCGCCGGGTCCTGGCGCCTCGTTCCGACCGACGAGCGCCGCCCACCGGCGCACTGACGGCCGGCAGCGCGCTCCTGAAGCCGCTGACGGCCGGCGGCGCGCTCCTGAAGCCGCTGACGGCCGGTGGCGCGCTCCTGAAGCCGCTGACGACCGGTGGCGCGCTCCGGGGGTAACTGGCGACCGGTAACGCGCTCCTGGAGCCGCTGACGACTGGTGGCGCGCTCCGGGGGTAACTGGCGACCGGTAACGCGCTGCTGGAGCCGCTGATGACTGGTGACGCGCTCCTGGGGTAACTGGCGACCGGTAGCGCGCTCCTGGAGCCGCTGACGACTGGTGGCGCGCTCCGGGGATAACTGGCGACCGGTAACGCGCCCCTCGGGCCACTGACGCCCGGCGGCGTGCTCCTTGGGCCGCTGACGACTTGCGGTGCGCTCCTGGGGCCACTGACGGCCGGCGGTGCGTTCCTGGCGTTACTCAGGTGTGGCCTAACCCGTCCGACCGGTAGATGGTGGCCCACATGTGCCAGCCTCCAGATCGGCGATCAAACAAGCTCCAGCCTTTCCACGTGATCGGCGCTTGGACCGTTCGGTGACAGGCCTGCTGCCGCCGTGCTTCTGTAACGGGTCCCGTGCTGCTGCTGCTCTCACCGCACCGAGCCGGCGACATGCTGAATTACCATAACCCCAGTCGCTTGCCACCTGGCCGCTCTGCAACAGCCAGCAGCTGTGCAGTCGTACCGCTTACCCCAGGGTGGCTGCTGCGCGACTTAAGTCGTGGCGCTCGGTGCGGGTCTGCCGGCGGGCGTCCTCGCCGAGCCCGCTGGCGGCCCCGCTGCTGCGCGACCTTAAGTCGTGGCGCTCGGTGCGGGTCTGTCGGCGGGCGTCCTCGCCGAGCCCGCTGGCGGCCCCGCTGCTGCGCGACCTTAAGTCGTGGCGCTCGGTGCGGGTCTGTCGGCGGGCGTCCTCGCCGAGCCCGCTGGCGGCCCCGCTGCTGCGCGACCTTAAGCCGTAGCGCTCGGTGCGGGTCTGCCGGCGGGCGTCCTCACCGAGCCCGCTGGCGGCCCCGCTGCTGCGCGACCTTAAGTTGTGGCGCTCGGTGCGGGTCTGTCGGCGGGCGTCCTCGCCGAGCCCGCTGGCGGCCCCGCTGCTGCGCGACCTTAAGCCGTGGCGCTCGGTGCGGGTCTGCCGGCGGGCGTCCTCACCGAGCCCGCTGGCGGCCCTGCTGCTGCGCGACCTTAAGTTGTGGCGCTCGGTGCAGGTCTGCCGGCGCCTTCTCGCCGAGCCCGCAGGCGGCCCCGCTGCTGCGCGACCTTAAGTCGTGGCGCTCGGTGCAGGTCTGCCGGCGCCTTCTCGCCGAGCCCGCAGGCGGCCCCGCTGCTGCGCGACCTTAAGCCGTGGCGCTCGGTGCAGGTCTACCGGCGGGCGTCCTCACCGAGCCCGCGGGCGGCCTCGCTGCTGCCGCCGGCCGGCGTCGGGGCCATGTATCGGATGTCGCCGGCCGGCGTCCCGCAGCTGCTGCGGCCATGTCCGCCCCGCCGCCCCGCCGCCCCGCCGCCTCGACCGTCATTTGGCGGCGCGGTATGGTAATGGCGCGGCGGCGGCTCGGCGGCGGCGGGACGAGACAGGTGCCAGCCCGTAACGAGGCGGCCGCTGTCCGCGGCGGCGCGGCGGCGGTGGCGTGGTCTCCCGCCGCCGCCGTCGCCGATCGGCTGCGGAGGCGGCTTGCGATGGCTTACTGTGGGTCGAGTGAGAACCGTCGGCCTCGAGCTGTCGTAAGTTCGAAAGTGCCCGGAGTAGTTTAGGAGGAGCGTTCGTCCAGATTGTAGAATGGATGGGCGACCCTGCTGGCCCGCACCGTCCCGCAGGTCCTGGAGGTCAGGCGCTGTCTTTGTGACCTCCGGGCCCTCGGTGTGGCGTCGGAACGATCCCCAGCTCCCTGAGGCGGACACTCGGACGTCTCTGGTGTTCTTGATCCGCGTTTGCTGGTGAACTCTCGGGTGGCCTAGGCTTCGGTGCATCCGGCCAGGCCGCGCTCGGGTCTCGGGCTCACAGGCTTAGCGAAGTTTTCACATTCGCGGTGATGACGCTTCTGTGGCACGTGCGCGGAAGCCTGGTGACCGGTGGTGCCTGAACCGTCAGGCCAGCGCCTCGGCGCACCACCCCGACCGCCGTGATCCGTACCGCGGCTGTTCTGCCGGCTCAGAAGCGCTCTCTGGCCGGTTATGGGCATCGTTAACGCCGTACCGGCAGGCATCGCTGTGTTAGCGACTCCTCTTGTTTCGCGCGTCGGAAGTGAATGTCATTCTCTGGGAAGCAGTCGCAGTCAGGTCCCCAGTAGCTGCAGAGCGTGGGTGCCAGAGAGTGGGCTTATTTAGTTGGGTGCGCGTGGGTTTATTATGGAAGCTTGGAACGATCGCTGCCGGCAGGCGTGCTTTGCTTGGGATGCGGAGATCGTGATGTATGTCTTCAGCTGTGGCGGTGCTATTCAAGTAAGAAACAAGTTATGGGCGCCTTAGCACCAGACCGCGTCACGACTAAAACCCAAATCGTCGCTGCCATTATCGCCTCCGGTCCCATCGGCTATGGCTTATTGACGCTGCTTGGCTTGTGCCACACCACCTGGGGGCGCCGGAGGTGAACGAGCGCCCGGCCGACAGCTCATGACGCCGCAAATCCAGCATGGCCGTGGGTGTGACGTCAGCGTGTTCACGGCGTCATCAGCGGTGTGTTGTCGCTGTTAGTAATGTGCTGCCTTGGCGTTAGTGATGTCATTATCGCCAGCGCCGCGCCGCTGCTGCACAGGTAATTTATGCTTGCGTCTATTGCAACGCGCCTGGGCTGGCTGGAGTGGCTGCTATTATCTTACTAGAAATGCTTTGTATTACGATTTTGCTGGGACCTTGTGCGCATCTGCTGTGATTTGCTGGGGTCGTTTGCACGTCTGTTACGCTCCTGCTGAACGGGCAGGCGCATCGATCGAGTCACAGCTGGACTGATAAGTGCGCCTGTTTTGAACCTACTTGACTGATTGGTCCGTTTTCTGTATGTTCACCCGGTGCCTTTGTTGCGATGCGGCAGGACTGGGGTACTTCTTTGTTGGCACCGCCAGCATTAGTGGACGTTTTCGCAGAAAGCGTACCGCGTTATGTACATACCTAAGTATTTCAAAGTGGTTCAAAAAATGCGGGTTAAGTATTCGTGTGCTATGTGGTTCCAACCGTCGTTTCTCGTTTCAAGCAGCTGGCATGAGTTAAAGGAACGGTCGTAGTCAGAAATAGTTTTTACCTGGGCGCAGTGACCTCCGACGTCGGCGTGCCCTTAAATTAAAAGCATTATCATTATTAGGGCCCCTTACCAGCATACCACATTCCCACTGAGTTTCAGGATGTTTGAAATGTTCTCAAATAGTGTGCACAAAAGTTGTCATGAAAGTGGCCATTGGGTGGGAGGCCAGACGTTGCGAATGACGTCAGCGGTTGGTGCTTCGGACCAGGGTTGGACAGCGCTGTAGCCCTACCCGGTGTCAGCAACATCGGGCCCGATGCCCGGTGTCAGCGACATCGGGCCCGATGCCCGGTGTCAGAGGCATCGGGCCCGATGCCCGGTGTCAGAGGCATCGGGCCTCAATGCCCGGTGTCAGCGACATCGGGCCCGATGCCCGGTGTCAGAGGCATCGGGCCTCGATGCCCGGTGTCAGCGGCATCGGGCCCGATGCCCGGTGTCAGCGGCATCGGGCCCCGAGCCCGGCCGACCTCTGCGTCCCGTCCGGAGCGTGGCGACGCTGGGGAGTACACCACGCCGGGGTGTGTTCCCCGCCTGCACCGCCGCCGCCGCCGCCGCCGCCGCCGCTGTCGGACCGCCCGGGCCGGACTGCCCTGATGAAGAGTGTCGGGGCTAGCTGTCAGCGGGGCCGGTCCATTAGTCATGACCGCCTGGCGTCCGCGGCGACGACGGCGGCGGCGCGCACACAGCCGAGAAATCGGCCGCAGCGAATCGAAGTCCATACGCAGCGTTTGCCACGCACGACTGGTGTCCAGTGCCGGCTCTGGCGTAGACAGGCCACCACGCCAATGGTTGGTCCATCGCACCACTCGTTAGTCCACCATGTCACTTGTTAGTCCACCGCGCCACTCGTTGGTCCACCACGCCACTCGTCAGTCCACCACAGCACTCGTTAGTTCACCATAGCGCTTGTTAGTCTACCGCACCACTCGTTAGTGATGTGCGGTCATGAAGGCCCACGCGCGTTTCTGCGTGCTGTGTAGTCGTTCATGTGTGCCGCTGGCAAGGTGTCGGCTTGCAGTTTCCTCTGAAATGTTATGCATGACGATCTCATTAGCGGATTGCGTCCTTCTAGATCAATAGCAACGGCACAGGAGTACATGGCCGACCTGCCGTGTTTGGGTGCATTGGGGTCACCCAGATGCCTGCAGTTCACAACATGATCGCAGTTCGCATCGCACGGCTTTATGATAAACGGTGATTAAAACTATTCCGTGGCTGGCAGCCATTTGCGAGATCATTACCCAATTTTTAGATGGGTTTATCGGGTCTTCAGGAATTGCAGCATCTGCTGTTGTATTGTGGAAACGCTGGATGCCTGCCTCGTTGGTCGATGGACGATTTAATGGCAATACCTCATTCATGGGAAACACCAATGTATTGCCGACTGACAGCCAAGTTTGGTGTAAAACACTCCCGCAGATGGTTTATACATTATCGGCACTGATGACGTCAAAAGGATGACGATCCGTTCGAAATGGTGCCGTAAACGCAGCCAGCAGCCATGGCCCGCCAATGAACTCCCGGGATCCTGGTGCTGTCCGAAAAGACTCAGCCCGGAGAGCATGTACAGATGTGGTGACCGGTTTTTTACGCTAAGGTACTGTGTTTTGGGGAAATGTTCAGCGTAGGACGGGGTTCTTTCTTATACTTGTTTTGCCAGAGTGCGCCACTCGTTATTCTTAATATGG